TCCTTACCTGTACACTAGTCATTTTCAATCTGGGAATCATCCCGGTGGCGATTCATTAGGGAATTCATTGTAAACAGCCTGTCCCTGACATCAATCCTCTCCAAATATAACACACATTCCTTCCCTCAGATACACCTAAGTTCTCATTTAAACAGCATCGCCTGGAAATGAATTCCTCTGAGGTCCTGAGGATTAAGCATTCTTAGCATGGCATGCTTGCACGTGAGGAAGGGTCATCCGCAGGCATTCCCAAGCTAACGTCCAGTAGAGCAGAGTTTTGCACTGAGCCGGAACTCCACTTGTGGCTCTGACCTATGGCTGTTCTTTCCCTTCAGGCATGGCAGATGGATGGTGAGCCTGAGTCAGCAGCCTCCCTTTGCTGATAAGAACATGTTTCCTTTCGGGGACCTCCCCCACCTTTAATCCCTATGGTTTGGGCCAGCAAACCCCACTTCCCCAGCTCTCCCCCAGAGGCTGACACCTGGCTGACCCCGGATAATTAGCATATTCCCAGTTCTGTGTGATGCAAGCCAGACCAACAGGACTCAACATCAGGATATTTGTTGGAACCAATGGAGATGATCTCTCTTTTTCCCTAGGGCTTCTCAGCTGAGCACCTGTAAATCCAGCAGCCATCTTGTCACTGGGAGAGAACCACCCAGAGGCTGAAGCCAAGGAAAAGAAAACAAAGCCAAGAGATGAAGAGATAGATTTCAGAAAATTTGAAATTCAGCCTTCATCCAGCTGTGCTGGGGGGACCCTGTACACTGTGAGCTAATAAATTCCCTTCGTATTTTAAACAGGTCAAGTTGGAAGCAAGCCCTTCAAATTCTCTATAGAGCTTTTCTTGTTCATCCTATATAAAACTATAACCCCTAACTCATCCTGATACTCCCTAAGCCCCTTCCCTCACTTATTTTTTCCAAAGCACTTATACCATCTAAAACATTATATTAATATATTTTACATATTTACCTTATTTATTTTCTATCTCCCCAACTAAAATGTAAATGCCATAAAGGCAGAGTTTTTTGTCTATTTGCTCACACCTATACCTTGAATAGTGCCTGGAACAGAGAAGGTGCTCAGAAAATATTTGTGGAATGACTAAATGAAATAACTTGCAACTGAAAGAATTGTGACTAATTCACATGGATTATATGGAAATAATTTTTGCCCATTGTAGAAAGGGACTGGCTAGAGAGAGTCTGGCTGGAAACTTTTCCTATGGCTTAACATGATGCAATTTCTCTCCTGCTTTCAAATATCCACTCAAGAAACATTTACTGAGCAACTATCTATGGTAGTTACTGTGCTAAGCACAAAGATAAATAAAACACAGCCCATTCCCTCCAATAGCTCTTAGTCTTATACCACAGCAAGTAAACGTGGGTAAGAGATCAACCAGCTTTGACGTCTGCACATCCATCCAAAGGAAGTCAGAGCACTCAGATGCTCCCTTTTTCTCTCTCTCTTTCTCTCTCTCCTTTCTCTCTCCAAGTCTACAGGTTCGCCTGCAAGCTCAGAGTAAGGAGTCACAAATAGCCCAGTCTAGACACTTGACAGACAAGCTAGAAAGACAAAAATACAGCTCAATTGAGGAGAAAGGGCTGAAATAAAAACTAAACTGGACAGGTGCGGCAGCTCGCACCTGTAATCCTGGCACTTTGGGAGGTTGAAATGGGTGGATCGTTTGAGGCCAGAAGTTTGAGAACAGGCTGAGCAACATAGCCAGACTTCCCTCTCTAAAAAAAAATGGAAAAGTTAGCCGGACGTGGTGGTGTGTGCCTGTAGTTTCAGCTACTCAGCAGGCTGAGGCAGGAGGATCTTTTGAGCCCAGGAGTTTTAGGCTGCAATGACAATGTCACTGCACTCCAGCCTGGGTGACTGAGGAAGACCCTGTCTCAAAAAAAAAAAGAAAAACTAAATAAAAACTCAATTTAAGTTTATGTGGCAAACAAGCCTGTGAAAGATATGTTCATGTGAAAGTGGTACGGCAGACTGAACACCTGGCTTAACAGTCCGTCTCTTTGGGCTACACAGAAGCTATTTCTAGTAATCTGAGAAGGCTGTAGGGTCACATATGGCAGTTAGGGAAATGGGAATCTCAGAGAAAGAACAGTCAACCTGACTGTCAGTATTCACCAGGACTGAACTGTGGCTCATTTGGGAGCCAAGGAGGATCCAGCCATCTGGTCATCCTGTGGCCTCCTCAACGGGAGTTGCTCATCTAGAGTTCACTATTGCATGACCAAGGTGTTCTTGGTCTCTGCTTCTCTTGGGTTTCTTTCTTTGATTCTTTTTCTTTCTTTTCTTTTTTTTTTCTTTATCTCTTTCTTTCACACCTTTATTGAGGTATACTTGACATTTAAAATTCATAGTTTGATAAGTTTGGACTTATGCATACACCTGTGAATCCATCATCTCAATCAAAAGAGTGAACATCTCTGTCACCCACAAAATTTCCTGAACCCTTTTTAATCCACTCCTCTGTCCCTCCCCACTCCCACACCCTGTCCCAGGCAACTGCTGATCTGCTGTCTGTCACTAGAGATCAGGTTGCATTTTCTAGGATTTTTTATAAAAGGAATCATATAATATGCATTCCATTTTACTGCCTTCTTTTATTCAGCATATTGATTTTGAGATTTATCTACAATATTGTGTATATTGTAGTCCATTACTTTCTACAGCTAAGTAGTATATACTGTACTCTACCTATATACACATATATATGGTGTACGCACATACACAATTTGTTCATCTATCTATCTGGTAATGACTATTTGGATTGTTTTCAGTTTGGGGTTATTATGAATGAGGCACTATGAATATTTGTATATAATCTCTATATGGACATATGCTTTCATTCCAGTTGGGTAAATACTTAGAAGTGGAGTGGCTGGATCACTTAGTAAGCACACATTTAAATTTTTAAGAAACTTGCCAAACTGTGTTCCAAAGCAGTCATACCATTTTACATACCCACCAGCAGTTGTGTGAGATCCAGTTCCAGATCCCCACCAACACTCGGTATGTCAAGTTTTTAGCTTTAGCCATGTTAAGATCTGTGATGGTATTTACTCTTGGTTTTAATTTGCCTTTCCCTAATGAATAATGATGTTGAGCATTTTTTTCACATGCTTATCTGCCTTCCATACATCTTCTTTGGTGAAATATCTGTTCAAATCTTTTGCTCATTTTTATACTGGGTTGTTTATTTTCTTATTAATATATTTTGAGAATTCTTTATATATTTTAGATGTAAATTCTTTCTTGAATATGTGATTTGCAAATATTTTCTTCCAGCCTGTGGCTTATCTTTTCATTCTCATACCAGTATCTTTTAAAGAACAGATGTTTTTAGTTTTAATGAAGTACAATTTATCAATTTTATTATGGATTATGCTTTTGGTGTTATATTTAAGATAATTTTGTCTAACTCAAGGTCACAAAGATTTTCTAATGTTTTCTTATTTAAGTTTTATAATTTTGGGTTTTATATCTAGTTCTATGGTTCATTTTGAGCTAAGTATTATGTATGACATGAGTTGCGGATTAGCGTTCATTTTGCTGCCTATGAATATACAATTGTTCCAGCACCATTTGTTGGAAAAAATATCCTTTGAATTGTCTTTGTCAAAAAATCTATATACAAATATGTGTAGGTCTATTTCTGAAATCTCTATTCTATGTCATTGATCTACTTGTCTATCTTGGCACTAATACTATACTATTTTGACTATTGTAGCTTTATAATAATTCTTGAAATCAGGTATTGTTAGTTCTCCAATTCTGTTCCTCATTTTCAAAGTATGTTAGGCTATTAAACAAAACAGCCTGTTGGGATTTCGGCTGAGACTGCATGTGATCTATAGATTAATTTCAGGAGAATTGGCACTATAATAATACTGCCTTTCAATCCATGAAAGAGTATACCTCTCTTTTTATTTATATCTTTTTTTAATTAATTATTTTTTTTGAGACAGAGTCTCGCTTTGTTGTCCCGGGTAGAGTGCAGTGACGTCATTGTAGCTCACTGCAACCTCGAACTCCTGGACTCGAGCAATCCTCTTGCCTCAGTGACCTGAGCAGCTGGGCCTACAGGAGCACATCACCAGGCTTGGCTAATTTTTCTATTTTTTATAGATACAGGGTCTCACTATACTGCTCAAACTGGTCTCAAACTCCTGACCTCAAGCGATTCTCCCACCTCAGCCTCCCAAAGTACTGAGATTACAGGCATGAGCCACCACACCCAGCCTAAATCAATTATTAATGTTGTGCTTTTAGATTTTGTAGCAGGAAACTTCTCTGTGGCTGTGGGGGAGGATAAGCAAAAAAGAATCTTGCATAAAAAGTCAAGTATTTATTTCTGCTGGCATTTCTAAATACAACCATATGGTCCTAGAGGCCAGAGTGTTACAAATTCCACCTACTACAAGAAAATCTCAATTTCTAGGGGGCCATATGTCTAATGATGTATCCCAGCCCTTTAATTTACACTTTAGTCTGTCAGAAACTCTGCTTTTAACTGGTCTGCTGAGCATAGAAGGCAGCACAGGCCAAGGGACACTCAGGGTAAATAACAGGTATCTCTGGTGAGTGCCTATCTTGGAGGAGAGTTGCAATTTTGTGACTAGGCCACCACCCACAAAAAAGCACATCTGAAGCCTACAACAATCTTAAAGACAGGCATTTAAAAGCCAAGTTTGATTGGTTAATTGTGGTGTTTTTCAGCATAATTCCCTATTCATTTGGTTTGTCTTTTATTTGCTTCCATTCATTCATTCAACAAATATTCATGGGAACTAATTTGGATCTCAATGCTAGGGTGGCGGTAGGAGTGAGAAGGAACATCAAGTCTGTTATACGTGATTCCCCCTCATAGGCAGGGGAAACACACACTAATACAGTATGGATAAAGATACAAAGTGAAATAGTCAGCACTGTAATTTGTAAAATACAAGGCACTATTCCAGCATTTTGTTATTTTATAGTTCAGAACAAGAAACACTATGGAGAGTTGAGGAAGGCCTCACAGAGGATGGAGAGGCATTTGGTTTTACAGATGAACAGGCATTCCTTCCCCAGGTAAGAAGACAAAGGGAGGAGTGTGTATTGTCTATCTACTTTTCCAAAGACCTTAATGTATTATGTTGGAGGGAAACTGGAGAAAAGCATCTAGTAGAGAGGTGTTACAGATTGTATTTTCCAAAGATGGCCACATCCTCCACCAAGAGATGGAATCTAAGTCTCTCCTCTTCAAATACAGGCTAGCTTTTGCAACCATTTCAACCAATAAAGTACGGCAGACAACCCTACCTGCAAGGTTAAGTCATAAAGTTACATTTCTGCCCTTTTCACCAGAACACTCAAGAAGAGGCCCTGAGATATGTAAGCACTCCCACTGCCTTGAGGGTACCATGTTGTGAGGAAGCCCAACCCATGCAGAGACTACATGGAGAATACCTGAGACTACAAAAAAGAGAAAGAAATGCATGGTTAGCCCCTGGCTGCTCCAGATCCAGCCATCTTTTGACTGCAAGTTTATGAGACTCCAATCCAGAACTTCCTAGCTAAGCCCTTCCCAAAGTCACAGAAACTATGAAAGATAAAATAATTACTGTTGTTTTAAGTCTCTAAGTTTCAGGGTGATTTGTTACACACCAATAGATAACCAGAAGAAGAGGATAAGAAGTGAGTTGGCTATTTTCATTTTTCTCATTTCATATTAGATGGGCCTGAGATGACCCTGACCCCACAGTGTAAAATAAGCAATTAAGGTAAACCCAAGAGCAGGAGTAGAATCTAGATAATTGGGCAAGGAGATAGTGGAGGACCGGGCCCTACGAAGCCTGGGGGGCAAGACAAAACCCCCACTGAAGCAGAGTTGCCAAACTGAGACCCAAAGCAGGGACTCACAAACAGGTGGCAAAAGCAGGGAACTTGCTATTCAAATCAGGTGACGAGGTCATGGGAAAAAAACAAGAAGTGAGACATGAAGATGAAAAAGTAACATGATGATACTGAGTTGTGAAGCTTTGGTGATAGTATTTCTCACAACTAGAGAATCTAGAATGTTCTCAGAATCTGGAGTGAGGCCTATGATAGCATCTGGGTGGTTTAGATGGCAACAGGATCAAGGACTGGTGCCAGACAGGTTATTTCATTCTCTGTAGCCCTGATAACCACCTAACTCCCTTCATCTACACTCCAACAAAAGGCAAAAAAGAAGAGATCACAATAGGTCGGGCACAGTGGGTCATGTCTATCATCCTAACACTCCGGAAGGCCGAGGTGGGAGGATAGCTTGAGGTCAGTAGTTTGAAAGCAGGAGACTCTGTCTCTATTATAATTTTTTAAAAAATAACAACAACAAAAAAAAAACCACAACAGATGTCTATAAGAAAAGAAAGTCAAGACAAAGTACAAGGTATCATGGGTGGTATCTTGGAATAGTTTGTATCCACCGAAAAATCAAATTAGGGACTCACCCCTATCTTGACAACATGTATCAAAACATGCCAGAAAATATTTTTAAAAGACAGAACAGCCTGCAATCATGAATGACCATTCCTACAATGTTTACAACAGCTACATCCACAGATAAAAGGGGAACAACCAACAATCTAACTGAACAACAGATTGACTGAATTACATAACACCATGCAGCCTGTTCTAGAAAATAATGTTTGATAAAATGAGGAAATATTCCCAAGATATTTTTGTAGTTTTAAAAAAAGTTTCTTAAAAGCAGGTTTTACATCTTTGTATCTTTAAACATGTCTGTAGCAATTCCTTGTACCAGCAGGTCCTTGAGAAAAGTTGGTTGAAGAAATGAACTTTGTAGTTAATTTTCAGTCAGGGTATACTATGTGCCAGGTATGGTCTCAAGTGCCTTCCACATGTAAATTATTCTGCATCCACATAACCCTGGGTGGTAGTGACTATTATCTTCCCTGTTTTGGACAGGTGGAAACAGGAGGAGAGGGGTTAAGAAACTCACCCAGTAAGTGGTAGTACTGGGACAAGGAGGGACAGGGAGTCTGGTTCCATGACACTGGATAGCCTACGCAACTCTTAAAACAAGTGATCTGAAAAAAAAGTCAAAAAATTAAAAATTTAGTTTTTTCCTTGCCAAGTTCTTACCCACATACCATTAAGAAAAAAATGCCATTTATCATGTCTCATGATTGTTGATAACAAACCTTCCAGAACTAAAGGCAGGGAAAATGATAGCAAAGATTTAGAATTAAGGGAGAGGGGGAGGGATCCTAAGGATATTCTTTATTGACATTATTCATTTGTTCAGTGGCCAGAGAAAATAAAGGAACAGGGGATATAAAGAAAGCAGAGTGTGCAGTGGCTCACACCTGTAATCCCAGCTACTAGCAAGACTGAGGCAGGAAGATCCCTTGAGGTCAGGAGTTTGACGCTATAGTGAGCTATGATTGTGCCCCTGCACTCCAGCCTGGGTGACAGAGTGAGACCCTGTCTCTTAAAATAAATAAATAAATTTTACAAAAAGAAAGCAGAATGGTAAAAAAAAAAGGAAAACAAATTTCTCATTAGGTAATTTGGAATCATCATATAGGAAAAAAAATGTCGGTAAAAATATTTTAAATATTATTCTGGGATCTTCTACTTCCCATTTTATCTCCCATCTGCATGCATTTGATTCAGCATCAATTACACAGGTATAATCTGTTATAAATTAATTTAGGTCTGTTCAGGAAAATTTTTAAATCTTACCATAAAGAATTAAAATGAATAGGAACAGAGAAATAGCTGATCACCCCCTTCTCCAGGGAATCTGTCTCGTGCTGTTTCTCAGCTGTTTCTGGCCTCCAGTTAAGACCCCCAACTCTGAAACAGGATTAACACTACATGCACGTTTGCCACTAGAAATGGGGTGGGCGCCAGGAAGCTGTTACTTCCCTCCCACACCTCCCCTTTTCTCTGACAGCACTGGGAATTCAGACTGATTTGAAGAGTGGGTGGCGGGAGAGTGGGAAGTGTTAACCAAAATCCCCTCTCCCTCAACTTCTGCATGGCGTGGCTGCATATACATTATGCCACCCTGCTGCTCTCCGTACCATCCACACCAAGAGCATATGGAGCGTCTTGATGTGCTTTAATTCATTTCTCCCTTCATTCTCACACTCAGAAGGAAACGAGTAAGGTTAGATAAAATTGCTACTTAATAAGGGGTTACTGAGTGTGTAATTGCTCCCAGAGCGTTTTTAGAGTGATAGTCCGCTGCTAGGAGCCAAGTTTGCTATAAAGAATCTTGCTAAACTGCCCAAGGACTGTAATTCCATTCACTGGTGGTTTTTTGAGTAACATACCAAAGTTTAAGGAGCATCATATATTAAAAGCCTTTTTCTCCCACCTCGTCTCAAACAGGTCAGCAAATTCAAAAGTTCAAGATTTCCATCCTTGACTTGTGATGTGATCAGGTCCTGAAGTTAGTGCCGAGGTGACTCTAGAACCTTCCTTCCCACAGCAGAATTTACCAGCAAGTAAATGTGACCTTTGCCAGAGTTGTTGGCAGGATCGCTGCACTATATAATTTTTTTAGAGCTTAAGGGATCTGAAGGTTCATGGTTATGTTCATGTGCCCTATTTCACAAACCAGATCACCCAGCTGGGATTAGAGTTAGTACTGCTGAGTGCTAACCTACTGCTCTTAACCACATTTTCGCAGGACAGAGGCAGGGCATAACCTATCTCTGGTGAGTGACCCAGGAGGCATGGGCACCGTCTGACTTGAAAGATTGGCTCCTGCCTATGTTTTCCCTCGGTATTAGTGTTTCTCCTGATGGAAACTTTGCAATTTTTCCATTATCCCAGCATTGGTGTGACTTACCCCTCGCCACCACGATAAAGCTGTCAAGGCTACGGCCTGAGGGTGCGAGGCGGAAACAGTCCAGGCCTCCCCGACCCGAGTCAGGCGAGCCGCCATCAGAAGCACGGCGCTGCGCGCTCCTCGTTACCGAACGCGGCGAAAGGGCATGGCCCACTCCGGAAGTGGGCGCACTCAGACTTCCGGTCGTTTCCTCAAATCCAGAGGGAGGCGACCTTCTCCATCACGTCCAGTTCTTCTGCTTTCCCTGCGCCGTTTCAAACGTGCTTGACAAAGAGAACAACGAAGCCAGAGTGACCTACGCGTTCCCAACCCCTGGGTCTGGGCCTGTTAGGAACCGGGTGACATCGCTGCCTGAGTTCCGCCCTTCCCCCACCCCGGTCTGTGGAAAAATTGTCTTCCATGAAACCGGTCCCTGGTGCCAAAAAGGTTGGGGACCACTGCTCTAGAATTTTGGAGGGTTTTTTTTAATTTTTTAATTTTTTTGGTGTTTTATTTGGTTTTTGTTTTTGGTTTTTCTTTCCCAGGGGCCACCATTCTGGGAGTTTACTGCCTTCAGTTAAGTCCCTCTGTTTATTCGGTTGCTGTGGGTGAGTTACTTTTGTTCATTTTTACCATGATTTGGCCTTGAGGAAGAGATCGGCTGTGCATCGGCTCTCAGGCGACCATCTTCACTGCAGCATCATTCACAGGAGAAATAACGAGACCATGTGCTTGATATGGCACAATAATATCATCTCTTGTACCCATTTTGTGATCTATCCACAACATTTTTAATCCATGTTACTCAATGTGGCTCTAGGCCACCACCCATGGGAATGAAAGCTCTGGGGGCTTACGGGGACCTCCTCTTATTTGCCAGCAGTATGGACAGTGTCTGGAATGTGTAGGCAGTTGACAAGTTTGTTGAATAAATAATAGTCAAGCCTTGAGGATACACTACTAATTATTTTTTAATCACATGGACTACTACAAAGTGAACTATGAAATTTGAGAGGAGGAGAAGGTGGTCCTGTGATTTGGTTTACACATTTCACTGCTTACTTTTGCTAATATGAATAATTAAATGCTATCAGATCACAGTCAGAAAGAAAAAAGTGATAAATAATAGCCAAGTTGGAACCTTATTTACAAGGACCTAAGAGTGAGAAGGTTCACAAAATGATTATGAGCTAGCATTACTACTGTTCTCCTCGAAGCTCATTTGATTATAAGCAGCAGAAACCTGCTAAAAGTAGCTCAAGTGAAAATGGGAGATGAGGCTCGTTGTAATGCTACAGCAACCTCACAGAATCCAGCAAGAAAACATGAATAGCTGGAACATTGTGCAAACCAGAGCATGGTGAGCAGAACAACCAAGATTTCTCTATATGGCTTTTATCATTTCTGCATCTTGAAGTCAACTCCTTCATCATCCTCTCAGTCTGGCTTCCCTGCCTACTACTCATCTTATGCACAGTCCAGCGATGATATCCTCAGATCCCAGAGAACATGTCTACTTTAGTAGAACATGTCTACTTTAGACTTGTCTACTTTAGTGTCCATCTTCAATGATAACCTGAGTATCTGAGCAGCCACACTCATCTGACTTTGGACAGTATCTCAGAAGTCATAGATAGGTGGCCAACCAATGCAGTGGCCACTTTAAAGTCAGATGTCCATCCCCAGTTCAATCTACAGTGGCTGGGGACAAGGGAGGAGGTTGATATATTATCTAGAAAGCTTCCAGGGTGAGGCAGACAATGAAACACATCAGTACTTTTATACTGCTAGTCTACAAACTCCTTGGTGTTGAGAATGTTATTTTATTCTTCTTTGTGTACAGGGTGCCTAGTATAGGGGCTGGTACGTAATAGATATTCAGCAATTACCTGGTGAGCAATTGAATGATGCATGGATGAGAATGAATACCCACTACACTCTATGAGATACCATGTCATACATTCAAGAATAGCTATAAACAAAAAGACATGCAATAACAAGTGTCGATGAGGGTGTAGAGAAACTATTATAGAAGCCTCACACACTGCTAGCAAGAAGATAATATAGTGCAGCCTCTTTGGAAAATAGTGTGGAAATTTCTTAAAACATTAAATATAAATTTACCATATAACATAGCAAAATTACTCTTAGGTATCTAACCAAGAGAACTGAAAACACATGTCCACATAATGGCTTGCACACAAATGTTCACTGAAGCATTATTCATAACAGCCAAAAAGTGGAAATGATCCAAACACCTATTAACTGGTGAATGGATAAACAAAATGTGATATATTTATAAAATGGAATATGATAAAAATGACCTAAGTATTAACAAATGCTACAACATGGATGAATCCCCAAAATATGCTGAGTGAAAGAATCAAAATACAAAATATCACATATCGTATTATTGCATTTATATAAAATGTTCATAGAGCCAGGCACAGTGGCTCGTGCCTATAATCCTAGCAATCTGGGAGTCCAAAGTGGGAGGATCCCTTGAGGCCAAGAGTTTGAGACCAGGCTGGGCAATAGCAAGACTCCATCCCTACAAAAAAATAAAAAATTAGCTGGGCATGATGGTGTGCACCTGTAGTCTTAGCTACTTGGGAGGCTGAGGCAGGAGATTTATTTGTGCCTAGGAGTTGGAGGTTGCAGTGGGGTATGATGATGCCACTGCACTCCAGCCTGGGCAACAGAGTGAGACCCTACCTCAAAATAAATAAGTAAATAATTCATAAAAGGCAAATCTACATAACCAGATAGTAGATTAATGGCTGCCTGAGGATGACTATGAAAACCCATAGTCATACTCAGTGACTGCAAATGGGCATTTCCTTGGAGAGTAATGAAAATGTTCAAAACTTAGATTGTTATGGTTGCCCAACTGTAAATTGACTGAAAATCATTGAATTATACACTGAAAATGAGTGAATTTTATGGTTCGTAAAGTATACCTCAATAAAGCTGTTTTAAAAATCTATGGGACTAAAAATGGCCATATAAGTTATCTTACATAACGAAGACCCTTTAGCTGATCCTTAATTTTATTTTCCTCTGTTTTCTCAATTCACTGTTAGTTTCACATCCTCTGTGTAATCAAGCCTGTGCTAAAATGATCTTAGCAAAATCAGAGTGCTCAACCTATCCATTTTGGGCTATAAAGAGGAACCAACTTGTGTCCAGATAGTATTGCCAGCTAAAGCTAAGATAGTATTGATTGTGGTAGCCTCTTCTGCATCTTCATGGCTTAGACGGCCAATAAAACTAATCCTCACGATATAGACAATTTACTTATCTGGGGAGATATTACATACTGTTATTATATGGACCATTTGCTTGCCCAAGAAAATAGAGCCAGCTGGTCACTTTAGGCATCCATAAAAACCGTAGGGTAATTGCCCAGCATAAAATGTACCATCACTGTATGGAGAGTGCTTAATGTTACAATCGTCACCAGTACATACTGTGATGCTTCTACAATCTCTTTGATATAAATAATCTTTCCAGATAGAAAGGGGTTAAAGCTGGAGAAGACATAAAATAAAGATACAGCAATAGCCAAATATTTCTCAGCCACCAATATCCTCGTTTTTCCTGAGTGGTAAAGAGAGGACGATGTCGAAGAAATGACAATTCTCCCATCCACATACTAACTAGGCCCAACCCTGCTTAGCTTCCGAGATCAGACGAGATCAGGTGTGTTCAGGGTGGTATGGCCATAGACAAGAAATGACAATTCTAAAAAAATAATATCATAATGAGATCTCTATATCTTACAGACAGTTTTCTAACTGAATAAAAAATCACTCTCATACAGTCAAGTGATCCTAACACCATCCTTGCCATTCCCATGGTGCTTAAATACATGACCTGAAGTAAAGAATCACTCAACTACTCCCCCTTTCTACCCTTTTCCAAAGTGAGTTCTGCTTGAAAAAAATTTTTTTTAAGTTTTTGTTCAATTTCCTGGACAGATCATAAATTATGCCAGGTATGAGACAAAGAAAACTGACTTCCTTATTTTATTAAAATAACCTATGGATTTTCCAGACAAGCTTATTGATTAGCTTAAAAAGTAAACATTTTAATATATGTGTGTATGTGTAAATGTTTTTTACGTAACTACTCTATGTGTTGTGATACCTGTGAGATTTGTTCTCTGACCAAACTGAGCCAATAAATGTTTGATTAGTCCCTGTGCTAAGCCCCCATGCAGTCATGAGCAGCTGGAATAGTGAGAGGAGCTGCTAGTTAAAGATATGTTTTTAAGGCAATAGAGCAGGGCTGAGCATCAGGTAGAAAAGAAATGAATAAACACCAAAAGACACTTAAAACTCCCAAAATACTAGCCATAGTCTCTAAAATGCACAGCAAAAATAAGTTAAGGATTCCTAAATAGAAAATCAAATGATAAAATGTTTCCTAATTAATCACAGCACCTTGTAAGTATTGATTATAACTTAGGAAAGTAATAAACTTGCACATCATAAATCAAGCAGAACATATTCCTTAAAGCATGATGGATGGAAAGCAATGGATTGAACTTATTAAAAGTTCACTGCAAAAATAAAAGGATTTTGATAAAAAACTGTTTATACTTCCTGTTTATCATATGATCTTCGTAAATGAAGTAGATCTTGAAACACATTTTTCAGAAGCTGAGATACTGATCTTACTGCACTAACAGGGAAAAAAGACAAAAAAGAGGGAAAAAATCAGCTCACAACAGTACATGATTCAATGTCTTGGGGATTAATGGGATTATAAATAGTGAGAATATTTGATACCAATATTTTTTGGCTATAAACAGAATAAAGTCTGAAATTGAGGTGTCCGTCTTTAAGAGTTTATATGCAAGATATTTATCTTTGCCATGGTTCATTTAAAAGACACTTGAGCTTAGAATGGAAGAGATGGAAATAATCACATTTTGAAAAACTAAAATAAGGAAACAGCTTTTAAGTTATTGTGGGAATGAAGGAATAAGTATTCCAGAGTGTGTAGACTGTACTAATTTGGATCAGTGATGATAAGGCTAGTCTAAATTAGTAAAATATGAACAGGAAAATATTGCAAAGAAAACGAATGTGTTTTTGTTTTTGTTTTTGTTTTTTTTTTAGCACATGCCCCTGAAATGAAGGGGAAAAAAAAAAAAGGCTAACAAAGCGCTGGACCTGATGTTAGAGCTAGTGTTAATTGGTAAATGACACTCATTTGTAAATGTACATTAGGTGTTTTTTTTTGCACATAGATTAATCCACAAGTATTTCCTAAGCTCCTTACTTCATACCCACCAATGTGCAAAATGCTGGGGAGGACATCAAAGAAGCATACGAGGAGTTCATGCATCTGTCTTTCTTAGGGAACCAATGAAGTTATTGAGTAGAAGGTCAAATAGTTCTAAAATGGTATTGGACGTATAGAGTCTTTACAAAAGACTCCCTCATTACAAAAGGCCATATTTCATGAAGAGTCATTATTATTATGGGTATTTGTTGTTGCCCTGTGCTATAATCCAGTGATACTTTCAGGAACTGTTAAGGGGCAAGCAGTCTCTGAAGCACTGTCAGTCCCT